GAGCGGGCTGGGCTGCTAGGGCCACGGCGACACGCATGGCCCTGAAGGAAGCGTGTGTGCGCCCTGCTCTGGAGGCCTGGGATCCGGGCCGGTCCTCGACCTGGCTCCCTCAGGGCTCCCTTTGCTGCATGCTCAGGACAGGCTTTAGCTTCCCAGCGGCTCAGTCACTCCTTTCACAGGGAGACCCAGCCAAGGTCGAGGGGAGCAGAAGCTACTTTAAGATGAGGGTGTACTGGCCAAAAGCGGGGTCGAGCTTGTCTTGTTGTTAATCTACTTGATGAGGCCTGTCGAGATCGTGCTCGTGCAGAGCATGGGTGGTCACTTTAGAAAACACCCGAGTGTGGACATCAGTCTTGTCGAAGTTTGGAGTTACAGCTTTATTTAGCAGAAAAATGAACTTCGTTTTGTTTTGAAATCTAACATACATTGAGATTGTTAGTTATAACAGTGTCACTACAAAGCTGTACTTCACAATTTAAAAACTTTTCCTCAAAACGTAGAGAAAACAGAAATCGCCCCCCTCCCTATTTGCTAAATAGAAAAGGTGGTGGGTTAGCAGCTCCTAACCCCGACGCCCACCAGAGTCTGCCTGCCGTCTGCCTGGTGGTCCATCGCTTTACGGCCCTCGGCCGGAGCCAGCCCGACCACAGTGCTGAGTTACGGCAAAGAAGAAAAACTTGAATTTTGCAACAACAGCAACAACAGAAATACAGTTGAATAAGTGTCTCCATTCAATATTTTCCAGATAGAGCATTTTAATTTTCATTTTAATCTTTATGCCAGAGTTGAGGGTTCCATTATTTTTCTGCGAGGAAGTTTTGGGCTCTTCTTGAAGACTTGTCCTGTAATTACTGTCGGTCATCCTTCAGCCCCTGAGTACTGATAATGCCAGAAGAACTCAAGTGGTTTGTCTACTGCTAATTCACAATGCTTAGTTGCAAGTCTCTTTCCACTTTACTACCTCAAATCCTCAACAAAAACAGTTTTGAAAATGTGTAAAACCTTTGGGTTTTTACTTCTCTTTTCCCTTTTCAACTCACTCACATTGGTATTAATGATGTAATACAGTGGCCAATGATTACTCCCAAGTCAGAGAAAATACCGTATTCGCCTTTGGAATTTGACTTGTTTTTATACTGCAGCTTGACATTTTACAAACACAAGGAAAACCCAAAATATCTAATATAGTGGGTCATAAACATGAATTTTGTTTTTATAAAAAGTTAGTGAGATAAGACTATTTGGAAGCAAAAACTGTTACTACTTGGTTTTTAATTTCTTAAAAAATATATTAGTCATGGGACCAGCAGTTGGCATAATGGCGATATCGCTGGACTCCCATGTAGCTGACCGCAGTTTGAGTCCCAGACCCGGCGGCTTAAACTCACTCTGGGTGCGTGTGCATGCATGCCCAGGATCCCGAGAGGAGAATGGAGAAGGGATTGCAGCATGGCCATCCCTCCTGGGGGGATGAGTTGTCACTTTCTGTCTCTGTTTGGTGAGCGCACGTGCCCTGTAGGAAAAACCTCTCCCTCCCAAAAAAACAAAATACACACACACACATGCACACACACATATATATTGGTGAAAATTAATCATTGGAAAAATCATACGGTGATTAGGTTTTCTCCTCAGGACCTTTAGTTGTAAACATCTTGCTGTAAACCGATCTTCGGAGAGTTGCTCTCCATCGCATCTAAACGCAGAGCGCTGTCCACCTGGAGTGAGTTCCTGCCCTATCTGGCTGAATTTAGACTCTAAGCACGCCTTTCACTAGACGCAGGTTCTGCAGGAACTCCATGCCTCGTTGCCGTTCAGAGATGGTGGCAGAGGTGTCTAATGTTCAGCTTGTGGCAGGGTTGTAATGCTGAATTAAGCTGGAAGGAATTAAGTGTGTGTTGGCTGTATACAAGACAAGACTTTACAGTCTAAAAGTAACTCCATGTTTACAGCCAAAGGGCTTCTGTGATTTGCGATTCTGAGAGTGGAATATGTAAAATGGTTTTCCTTTGACTAGTAATTGTTGTAGGACTGGAAAGAAAATTGGAAGCACTCCAGCAGAACACAGAACAGCCTTTCCTCCAAATGAAAACAAAGTAACAGCCAGGCCTCAGGAAAGAGCTGACTATACATAGGGACTTATGTTCAATTACGGTACCTACCTCACTTGTTCCTTTTAAAGTCTGTTCATATTTATGAAGCTTTGGCACCCTCAGAACAGCCCTCTGAAACATCAGCAAGACCAAAATCTTTATCAACTGTGATGTATAAAGTGATAAGATTGTCCACTTGGTATCACCCATAGTGTTTGCTGGAAGCCACCGAGAGCCCAGGGCTTACTTTCCTCAGTCTACTCAAAGTAGTTCTCAGATCCCTCGGTGGATCCGTGTGCTGTAGCCGTTGATGCTGACTGTTAGAGACCGGGGCTGGTGGCCTGGCTCCGTACCCCAGTGGCTGAGAGCTGTGTGCCGGAAGCGGGGTCCCTCGTGGCTGACCGTAGTTCCTGGCCCTGATGGTTTGGAGAACATTCCAGGCACCAGAGTGTGCACGTCCCCAAAGTCCTGACAAGAGGGAGAAGTGGAGGACAGGCCTTGCGCCGTGACCCTGCCGGATCGAGGGTGCTTTCTACCACTCCTCCTTGCTCACCGTCTCTCTCTGGGCAGTTATAAAAAAGAAAAAAAAAGACTAGTTAAACATCTTAATTTATTTCTAAAGCAGATCCCAAGTGACTAATGAAGTGAAATATCTATATACACACACACACATATATATAGTATATATACACATATATAAATTAAAATATATATACATTTATTATATATAAATTATATATATAATTTGCAGAATTAGTCTAGCAATTGGGGTGTTTTTAACTGAAACTTTGGCTTTGAAAATTAGCTTAAGAAATTCTGAGGTTTGGTTTTTTTCCTGTTTTCAAAGTTGCTATTAGAACCACCCACTGCTGGGCCAGTGGGTGGCCTAGTCATGAGGGCACTGGACTCCTATGTGGACAGCCGTGAGTCTAGTCCCAGACCTGCTCTTTCTCTTTATTTTTTCTCTGTTTCTTTCTAGTGAGCACACATGCCCAATAGCAATTTTTAAAATAATAATAAATAAATGTAAATAATTTTTTTGAGAGGTTTTTGCTCCTCCATTCTCCTCTCAGGATCTTGGGCACGCAGGCACACACGCCTGGTGTGAGTTTAAACCACCAGGTCTGAGACTCGAACCACGGTCTACTACATGGGAGTCCAGCAACATAGCCATTATGCCATCTGCTGGTCCCACACTTAAATAATTTTTTAAAAGACAAAAAGCAAAACTGTGAGCTGCTGGCCACAAGTAGTCACAATGCTCTTTTCTTTTACCACAATGCTATTTCCAGGAAAATGTCCTATAAAAATACCTGATTTTAAAAAGTACTAAAATGTTTCATTACCGTATTATTAATAATATCACAAAGGTGTTTTTAAACTAGTAGTATGGGGCCAGCTGGTGGCGTAGTAGTTAAAGGCACTGGGCTCCCATGTGGTAGACTGCGGTTCGAGTCCCAGACCCAGCGACTTGAAACTCACACCAGGTGCCTGTGTGTGCCCAAAGTCCTGAGAGGAGGATGGAGAAAGGGCTACGGTGAACCCTCCCCCGGGGAGTGGTTTCTCACTTCCTCTCTCTCTGTCTCTTCAGCAAGTGCACACAGCTTACAGCAAAATTTCTCAAAAAAAAAAAAAATCCCCCCAAATTAGCAGTCACCTCAAAACCCATAACTAGAAGCATTAGATCAGCTAGGATATACCCCTGTCCTGTGACGTTCTTTGGGACATCGAAGTGTTAAGATTGCTGTGTCGCCGGGCGCGTGTGCGTGCGTGCCCAAGATCCCGAGAGGAGAAGGGAGGAGAAGGGATTGCGGCGTGACCATCCTCCCTGGGGGGTGATTTCTCTCTTTCTGTCTCTCTGTCTGTCTCTGTCTGTCTGGCGAGCGCACGCGCCCTATAGCGAAAAAACCTCTCCAAAAAAAAAAAAAGAACAACAACAGAAAAGATTGCTGTGTGTGCTGGTGTAGGGGGGTCACAGTTTATGGATTAAAGCGGGTTCCAGAGTCGGACATGCCATTCGCATCTAAGAGCATGTGTGTGCTGGTGTAGGGGGGTCACAGTTTATGAGTTAAGGCGGGTTCCAGAGTCGGACCTGCCATTCACATCTAAGAGCATGTGTGTGCTGGTGTAGGAGTCACACAGTTTATGGATTAAAGCGGGTTCCAGAGTCGGACATGCCATTCGCATCTAAGAGCATGTGTGTGCGTGTAGCTGCACATGCCTCGGACTTTCCTGGAATGAACAGAGGGCCAGCGGGCCTGGAAGGTGGGAGACGGGGTGATGTCTGGGACCTGTACCTCCCTCCATACGCACTCCCTTGTATTTGACATCTCGGCCAACACCCTTTTCGGATTTTCATACCCAGCTCTCGTTTTCCTCCTTAGGTCACGAGACCTGTGTAGAACTCCTCTTAGAACAGGAGGTTTTCCAGAAAGTGGAAGGGAACGCCTTCAGCCCTCTGCACTGCGCTGTGTAAGTCACGCCGCAGTGAGTCCGATTTGCTGTGTCTGAGAAGTGCCTCTGCTGTCACAGTAACCCCTTGTCCCTACGCAGGATCAACGACAATGAAGGTGCTGCCGAGATGCTGATCGACACGCTAGGTGCCAGCATCGTGAACGCCGCCGATTCCAAAGGAAGGTAGGAGTCCGCTCCAGGGGACGGCCGCTTCCGCAGGAGCGGTCTGACTGCTGGCTCGTGTGAGAGGATTGCAGAGTGTGGTATTAGTGGGAAGTGGATTTTTGTATTCGCAAGTATAAATTGCTATAAAATCTTATTTTTAAATTTTAAACAGTTTTTCTTTCACTTTCAGTTGTCAGTCTTTACAACTATTTTAAAATGTAAAAGTCCCCCCCTTTTTAAATTTATTTCTACCTATTTTTTATAAGTATGTATCTTTTCAGAGAGGGGATAAGCACCGTCAGCAGAGTGCTCGGGCAGCTGGTCAGGTCAGGGCGTGCGCGTCCACACCAGCAGCTCACCCTGTACAGCTGGGCCTGGACCCTGGGCATCCCCGCTGTCTGCCACAGCTGACCACCCGCCCTCTGCCTTTCAGAGTTTCTTCTCCATCTGGGGAGGGAGCGAGGGAGCTCCCTGAGAGGGTCTTGCAGATGCTCCCTGCAGCTTCCCAGCCAACCAGGACCACAGCACGTGTGCGCGTGTCTGGCATGTTCATGTGGGCCCAGACCTGAGCCCAGGCCACCCACGTGGCTCCACGGCTGCTTGGCAGCACCCTTGTGCCCACCACAGCTGGACCCCCTTCCGTAACTGATGCGTTTGTCGCCCGGAGTGGTTGTTAGCATTGGTGACAGTTTTCTACATAGGAAGGCAGAGGCAAAGCAGTGGTAATAGGCGGTTTTGGCTCAGAATTCCCTTTTCTCAGAATTCCTTTAACGCGTCATGCTTTTTAGCAGTCCCATGGTTTATCCTGCTTTTACACTAGTTGTTCCTCAGGGCCTTCATAGCACAGGTGAGGCCTCTGTGGCAGGACCGCGCTCCTTCAGCCCTGCGGTGTGTCCAGGCCTCGCCCCTATAGCCCAGTGTAGACCTTTGAAAAGCGCTCGTCATCGTATTCCTGGCATGTAGCCAGGGGACAGTGAAGACAGCGTGTAGATTGAGCTGCGCGTTTTCATTTCTGTGCTGCAGAACTCCTCTCCACGCAGCCGCCTTCACGGACCACGTGGAGTGCCTGCAGCTCCTGCTCAGCCATAACGCGCAGGTGAACTCTGCGGACGCCTCTGGGAAGACGCCGCTCATGATGGCTGCGGAGAACGGGCAGACGAACACAGTCGGTAAAGGCGCTCGAGGGTTCTGTCCTCATTCTCTGGAGAGGCGGGTTCATGAAAAACGTGCATCCTGAAAAATTAAGGATTTCAGGGGTTTTTTCTGTGCCAAAGTAAACGTGTACTTTTAAAAATAGAAGTATTTATTTAACTGTTACTTGTTTATTTTGATGTGTTACAAGGAACGCACACTCACCAGAGAGAGAGAGAAAGTGAGAAAGCAACCCACCAGGCCTGGGACTCGAACCACAGTCAGCCACGTGGGAGTCTAGCGCCCCAGCCACCACGCCACCTGCTGATCCACCCCATAAACTTGTGCTTCAGTTCCATTCTCTGTGAAGTTCTGGAAGCCCCTTAAATATTGCTTTGTTTTTTAAAGTATTATTTTACTTAACTTTATTCATTCATTTTACTTTGACAGAGAGGGACGGATTGAGAGAGAGAGAGAGCAAGCCACCAGGTCCAGGACTTGAACCGTGATCAGCATGTGGGAGTCCAGCACTCTTAACCACATGCCACGTGCCGGCCGGCCCCCTCACATCTGCCTTCACTCTGACGTCAGTCCCGAGCCTCCTGGCTTCCTTGCAAGCTGCCCCACAGTCCTGCAGTGTGAGGCCTTGGACCTCCTGCAGCCCACATTCCAGGTGGGGCCCGGCGTGTTCACTTGCTCTTCCTGACTGACGAGTGTCCTGCGTTTAGCAGGGCGGCATGGGCACTGTGGTTAAGGACACTGGCTTTGGGGGCAGCAGTTGGCATGGCGGGTAAGGCGCTGGACTCCCACATGGCCGAACGCGGTTCAGGTCTAGATGTGGCAGCTTGCTTTCTCACTTTCCCTTTCTGTCTTTCTCTCTCTGATCAAAATGAAAAATAATAATAACAAAATAAAATAAATAAAAAACACTGACACGCTGGCTCTGGGGGCCCAGCAGGTAGTGTGGTGGGTAAGGTGTTGGACTCCTACATGGCTGACCATGGTTCGAGTTCTGAACCTGGCAGTGTAAAAAACACATCGGGCGCGTATGTGTGTGTCCAGATTATGGGGGCGATTTCTCACTTTCCCTCTAGTGAACACACACACCCTATGGCGAAAACCTTTAAAACACAGAACAACACTGGCTCTGACTGTGAGTTGCCTAAATGTTGCGTGTCATAGATCCTCCAGGAGAGTAGCCGGACCTCAGCTTTCTCATTTGTAGAATGAGGGCCAGGACCGCGCTCCTTCAGCCCTGCGGTGTGTCCAGGCCTCGCCCCTATAGCCCAGTGTAGACCTTTGAAAAGCGCTCGTCATCGTATTCCTGGCATGTAGCCAGGGGACAGTGAAGACAGCGTGTAGATTGAGCTGCGCGTTTTCATTTCTGTGCTGCAGAACTCCTCTCCACGCAGCCGCCTTCACGGACCACGTGGAGTGCCTGCAGCTCCTGCTCAGCCATAACGCGCAGGTGAACTCTGCGGACGCCTCTGGGAAGACGCCGCTCATGATGGCTGCGGAGAACGGGCAGACGAACACAGTCGGTAAAGGCGCTCGAGGGTTCTGTCCTCATTCTCTGGAGAGGCGGGTTCATGAAAAACGTGCATCCTGAAAAATTAAGGATTTCAGGGGTTTTTTCTGTGCCAAAGTAAACGTGTACTTTTAAAAATAGAAGTATTTATTTAACTGTTACTTGTTTATTTTGATGTGTTACAAGGAACGCACACTCACCAGAGAGAGAGAGAAAGTGAGAAAGCAACCCACCAGGCCTGGGACTCGAACCACAGTCAGCCACGTGGGAGTCTAGCGCCCCAGCCACCACGCCACCTGCTGATCCACCCCATAAACTTGTGCTTCAGTTCCATTCTCTGTGAAGTTCTGGAAGCCCCTTAAATATTGCTTTGTTTTTTAAAGTATTATTTTACTTAACTTTATTCATTCATTTTACTTTGACAGAGAGGGACGGATTGAGAGAGAGAGAGAGCAAGCCACCAGGTCCAGGACTTGAACCGTGATCAGCATGTGGGAGTCCAGCACTCTTAACCACATGCCACGTGCCGGCCGGCCCCCTCACATCTGCCTTCACTCTGACGTCAGTCCCGAGCCTCCTGGCTTCCTTGCAAGCTGCCCCACAGTCCTGCAGTGTGAGGCCTTGGACCTCCTGCAGCCCACATTCCAGGTGGGGCCCGGCGTGTTCACTTGCTCTTCCTGACTGACGAGTGTCCTGCGTTTAGCAGGGCGGCATGGGCACTGTGGTTAAGGACACTGGCTTTGGGGGCAGCAGTTGGCATGGCGGGTAAGGCGCTAGACTCCCACATGGCCGAACGCGGTTCAGGTCTAGATGTGGCAGCTTGCTTTCTCACTTTCCCTTTCTGTCTTTCTCTCTCTGGTCAAAATGAAAAATAATAATAACAAAATAAAATAAATAAAAAACACTGACACGCTGGCTCTGGGGGCCCAGCAGGTAGTGTGGTGGGTAAGGTGTTGGACTCCTACATGGCTGACCATGGTTCGAGTTCTGAACCTGGCAGTGTAAAAAACACATCGGGCGCGTATGTGTGTGTCCAGATTATGGGGGCGATTTCTCACTTTCCCTCTAGTGAACACACACACCCTATGGCGAAAACCTTTAAAACACAGAACAACACTGGCTCTGACTGTGAGTTGCCTAAATGTTGCGTGTCATAGATCCTCCAGGAGAGTAGCCGGACCTCAGCTTTCTCATTTGTAGAATGAGGGAAGTAACAGCACTGACCAGTAGGGTTGTCGGAGTGGTATTAAACGAGCCAGAGTATGTTACACGAAGTCTGAAAGTTAGTAAGCACTCACGATCCAGTTCGGATTGCCTTGTTGATGACTCGGCCACACAACGTAGCCCTCCGTAGTGTGGACATCACAGTGCACTTTGCTTACTCACTGACGTCTCCGCCAGAGGGATAGACGTTCTCTCCTCTGTGCCTTCACCCCTCTGCAGTGAGTTACTGGTAATCTAAGGAACAGTCGTAAACGTAAGAACCGATGCCTTTTTCCTCGCAGAGATGCTGGTGAGCAGTGCCAGTGCTGACCTGACCTTACAAGACAACAACAGGAACACCGCCCTTCACCTGGCTTGCAGCAAGGTACGAGCGTGCTCAAGAGCCAGGTCCTCACCCTTGACAACAACAGCGACGTGAAGGGTTTCCCACTTCGGGGCCAGCGGATGTAGTGGTGGTTGACCACAGCTCAAGTCCCAGACCTTGTGGCTTGAAAATCACACTGGGCATGTGTGCTCACGTGCCCAAAGCCCCGAGGGGAGAGGCATTGTGGCGTGGCCATCCCGAGGGGTGACCTCTCACTTTTCTCCTCTCTGGTGAGCACATACGCCTATGGAAAAAAAAACCTTTAAAAAAAAAGAAAGAAAATTTTCCCGCCTCACTAAGACGGACAGAGTTAGGGACCCAACCTGCCTAGCGACCCCTGGCCTCAGGCCTCCCGAGCAGAAACACTGACGCACTAGGCACCATCGTGGGTGAAAGTCCCCACATAGGCCAAGGAAGCCTGGGAACACAAGCCTAGCCACAGCTACGGTCTCTCTGCGATCCTGATTCTGTCTTCTCCCCATCCCCACTCCCTGTCCAGGCTTGGGCAGCTATTCGGCCTTGGCCAGGAGAGTCGGGGCGGGAGTGTGGGCTGCAGACTTCTGGGACTGGGGCGGGGTGGTCGGAATTTGCGTCTGTCTTTAATGGTGCCCAAGTGTTTACGAGCTGTCCGCCACAATTTCAGGGTCATGAAACTAGTGCCTTGTTAATACTGGAAAAGATAACAGATAGAAACCTCATCAATGCAACCAACGCAGCCTTGCAAACGTGAGTGTTTTGAGTCGTGTGTGAACCTCGTAACCTGTAATTACAAAAACATCCTGGGTTTTTTCCTTACATGTGACTGTTGGGTTAGTTCTCAGTCAGAAAAGCAGTTAAAAATTATGACTACGTTTCTGGGGCTGTGTAGTCAAGTGTTCACATGGTGGCCTGCAAGGCCGACCCACATGGGAAAGTTCCAGACTCCTGCCCCGAGATCCCCTGAACACGCCAGCGTGTGCCATGGCCTAGAGCCGGTCAGGACTATGGTGGGCCACAGTGCTGGACTTTGTTGGAGCTGTCTGTCTGTCTGTCTCTGTCTCTCTGTCTCTCTTTCTTATGGAAGAAAGAAAACAAGAACTCGTTTCTAAAATTATCACAACTTAACAGGAATATTGCTAAAGAAATTTTTGAACTAAACCTTATTAGAACTTTGAAAATAGTGTATTTTTCCTCAATCTATTTACTCATATAGTCTTCTGAAGTAAAGTTATACTGTTCTGTGTGTTTTATGGAAATCAACTGTAATATGTTGTCACTAGCAAAAAACGAGGTAAAGCATTTTAAGTATGTACGATAAAGAGATCTCATTAAATAAGTTTCTAACCATGTGAGCAGCCAGCTTGAAGGCCGACTAAGATTTTAGGTCAGCGTCTTCCACCGTCCCTCCCCGATTTCCATCTGCTGTTCTCCACTGAGACTTGGTAAATATGAAAGCCTTACCGGATTGGCACGTCCCGTGAGGGTCCCAGCCTCAGTCCTGTGAGCCACAAGCCGTTTGCAGAGGCCATCTGAATTTGTGCTGCTGCAATTTGCAGTGTTGATTTTATTGTATATCCTCTGTGTGTGTTTGCCAGCCTCATCTCTTAAAATAACAACTTAGTGCAGCTCTGGTGGTTAACATCTTTTTTAGACTGAGGCTTAGGGGAGTAACAAGGTTTGGCAAGGGGGAAACTGCCAGTGGGTCCCACAGCCCGGCTCGTCGACGCAGTGTCTGGCGCTGTCCCCATCCGCCCTACTGCTCTCGGGACGAGGTGCTTCATGTCTCTGGGTCTTCACAGCTGGGCAGAATGCCCTTTGATAGCCAGGGGTCTGTGCCACGTGTGTACACGTGTGTGCATGCACATGTGTGTTTTCTCCCCAGACCTCTGCATGTGGCTGCCCGCAATGGGCTGACAATGGTGGTGCAGGAGCTTCTGGGAAAAGGAGCCAGTGTGCTCGCGGTGGACGAGAATGGTGAGTAGCTCTGCCCTCCCTGACTGCTCCTCGCCGCGAGTGTGCATCTCCGATGAGCCACACGGAAGAAAAATCACCTTGGGGATGTGTTGGTGGTCAAAGGGGTAAGCGGAGTTAATACCGAATAGCAATAATACTTGATAGCAAAGGAATTCGGGCAAAAGACGCAGGGAAAGGCCATCCAGTGGGTGAGCTGAATTCCCGCATCTGCGGTGAAGCCCGAGTCAGTGCCTCCTGCTTACACTCGCACACCGCTCCTCTCAGGAGCCCGGGTCCCATTCTCTCAGGCGTTGTCATGGCCTGCCTTAAGGGCCAGGGCGGCAGTTTCCATCATGGAGGAAGAGAGGGCAGCGACTGGGTGGGGGACATGAGGGCTTCCGGGATGTGGGTGACTGTCCCCACCTGGATGGTGTTCTGCGACGAGTCCCTCAGCCAGTCAGAAGGCAGATCACGTGGGGGGCGGGCTACACCCGAGCACGGGGAGGAATAGGGAGAAGAGCGGGCGGTGGCTGCAGCCGCAGGTGGGGGTAAGGCAGAACTCGAGTACGCGCTGCTGAACACCTGCTGCCTTCCTGTGGTTTAATAGTAAGCACGAGCCATTTTTAAATTCCTACGGCACATGTGGAACCTCAGGAGAGTTCCCTTGACAGCCAGGTGTCGCACACTCGGCGCCTCTCTGAGCCCTGCTCAGCGCCCAGCTGTGAACCTGCCTCCCTGGACCTCCCGGCCGTCGGGGCTGACTCGAGTGGCTCACTCAGCGGCCACGCCTGCTCACCGTTCTAGAGGAGCAGCTCCCTGTCTGTGCTCCTGCCGTATCTGGTATGGATCCAGACAGACGGGTACGCTGTGGGGTCCTGCGAGCTCGTCCCCTGCCGGCCGTTCCCTCGCCTCTTACCTAGTCTGCAAGGTCGTCTTCCACCCTAGCTTTCCATGGCTGTTCCCTTTTTCTGTGTTACTGAGAGTTACGAATCACTGTGGTTAAAACACTCTGTTGTAGGGAAGTAATTTAAAATGTGTCTAAAGTCGAAGGCCTTCAGGCACGTCTATAGTGAAGCCAGTCCCGCCTGTGATTGTGCAATCTCACCTGTGCTCCCAGGATACACCCCGGCTCTGGCCTGCGCTCCCAACAAGGACGTGGCAGACTGCCTGGCCCTCATCCTGGCCACCATGATGCCTGTCTCCTCCGGTAGCCCTCTGTCCTCCCTGACGCTGAATGCCATCCATCGGTACACCAACACCTCGAAGACGGTCAGCTTCGAAGCCTTGCCCATCATGCGGCACGGGCCCAGCTCCTACTGCAGCTTCAACAGTGTCGGTGCGGAGCAGGAGTGCTTGTACACCGATGCCGAGGAGCTCAACGACTCCGACTCGGAGACCTACTGAGAGGCAGGCCGGCCGGCCGGGGCCTTCGCAGCCGAGCCCTGCAAACCCTTTTCCAGGACAAAGGCACTTTCTTAATCACGTCCAAGTCCAACCTGAGAGGAGAAGACCGCACAGCGAACGGCGTCGGAGACGCGATGACGTTAGGGGACAGTTTAAAGGCAAGTTTTGCAAAAGAAACTTCTAGAATCTTGAAACAGACTTGACCAGAGGAAAACACACTGATGTCAGATTGCTTTGTGGAATTGTTTAATTTGGTTTTGCAGTGCCAGAATAATTCGGGACACTGTACCCCAAGCTGCTTACACAAGCAACACTATCGTGAAAGAAGAGATAAGGACACTAGGTTTAAATTTTCTCAATAAAATTGCAACTAAATTTAAAGGCAATAAACGTTTGGTACAGTAGGCATTATGTGCACAGCAAATTGCCAAAGGACCAAATAACTTAAAAGGTGTTTTTTTTTTTT